ACATTATAAATCATGTTAACTTATCATCTCACTTATTGGATAAAACATTAGTTACATCCATGGGCCATTCTACTAATAAATTGAGGGTTTTGACAATAGTTCCTGTTGTCTATTATGCATACAATATAACTATAAGTATCAATTAATCTACAAACTTACTTCAATTATTAATGGCAAACTTTCGTTATTCAAAAGAACAGATACTATTGCTTCCAATACTGTTGATATTATGTTAATGTTTTGAATGTTTTGGTCAGCAAGAGTACATGTTGTATTTTCCACTAAACTGCTCATATTGAAAGCTGCTGAACCAAAATTATCAACTGTAATGTTTACCTGAAGCATATTAAATAGGGTATTTACATCTAACCACAATCATAATTATACTATTATATTACACACTTTAGATAATTCAATGAATCCATATGTAACATCAGTAGTAGCACACCTCATCACATCTGGTGATTCCCAATTAGAAGAAGCAGAACATATTCTACTTGCTGTAGCTCCATTAGGGCCATTAGGACACAATATGGTAACAGTCATTCCAGCTAGTGTTAGCGGCCAATCAAACTGACCACAATCTGTGGTATTAGTCTGGGGATGGCATGCATGAGTGGGAACTGAAGTTGATGTAGGAAGTAGTGTTGTGATTAAATTTATAGCAGGAATTGATGCAATGGGTATCTAATGGAAATGAAGTGTGGAATAAAGTAGTTGGATTGATCATAGGTATAGGATTATTTAAGGATGAGATGGAATGTGCTATTGGAAAAGAAAGCAGGTAACATTACCATGGGTGATGCTAAAGTAGTTGGCAAAAATGTATTTGAAAAGAAAATTACTGAAGAGGGTAAACAGCATTTTGAAGAATTTGAACAATAGGGTCCAATTGAGTTACATGATCCAGAACCACCTGATACTAGAATGCCATTATTACTATCAAACTCAATCCAAGTGCTTGATACTGTTCTTAAAACTTTAGTACACATAGAAACTGTCTGAGGACCAGTAACATCATTTTCAATTGTCACAGAACTAATTGTTGTAAAACAAAAGATACTGCTGTGGTTACACTCAATCCAGTGAAAGTACAAGGTTGTTGGTCTTGAATAATTAACACTAATACTGTATTGTGTATTTATACCTGGTTGGGAGCCTATGAAATAACACTATAGCATAGATCTACTAGTAGTTATATTTTACTAACATACCATTGTATGTCATTAAATAGTTGATGTCTCCTCCAAGTTTTTCTACCCATAGAATTACAACTGGATCTCCAACAACACAGTCTGCATTTGTCTGGAGATTAAACTTCACTGTAGCAGTGTCTGAGCTACCTTCAACAAAAAGAAAAGAAAAAAGCAGCAAAAGCAACAGCATTGTTACTGGTTAATTGTTCAACAGAGGAAAAGGGAAATATCAAGTACATGCAAATGCAGTAAGTATAGGGCTGGGCAAATGCTTCAGTTTTTGTCTGTTGTGCTTTTAGGGTACTGCCCTAAATTCTACCCTATATTATGCTTTGAAATGAATCCAATTATGCTCATTATTGTGATATAAGTATTGGTACAACAACCCAACTGCTTAGTGCCTGCCTACGCAAGCATGTAACTTGATAGTCGATGTTTGAGTAAAGCTTCAAATATGGGCATATATTTAGGCTCATGTTTTAAGCTTTACTCAAATATCAACTATCAAGTTACATGTACATGCATCTGATATAGTGTGATAAAAAAATAATAATAAATATTGCAATGATATGGCAAAATCTGAAAATGTTTCCAGTGACTTTGAGTCACTCAAAAATAAAATAGTCTAAATTATTGACAATCACGTAGGCAGGTACTAAGCAGTTAGTCTTGCATATACTATTAGCATGACCATTCCCTGTGATTTTTTGGTTGTTTCATGTCTAGTTTTGATTTATTGATGAATGTAAGGCAACCATCAGTGATGATTCTCACTCAGCTGGCCCACTGTATGTAGCTATATGACAAAGAAACATAAAATTATGTTACATACTTCATTAGAAAGGTTAGGATATGCTCATCACTGGAATTTCTGCAGTCTAAAAGAATTCATTATAATGTTTTCTAATGCATATACATGTCCTTATTTTGTGCATCAACATTGAGCTGATTCCAATAAAATTTGGATTTTTAATAAGATTTTAAAGTTGCCCTGAATGCCATGTCAGCTCAGAATAAATTCTTGATCATTTTGCGATTAATTAAATGTGGGCTACTAAATCAGACCTCCTAGGCTGTATACAAAAAAATCTATTCTGCCAGAATCACAGATACTTAGATTTAGTTATTGTGATGATACGAAGGTTCGCTCTTAAAGTTCAAATTCTTGAGATATCAACCAACTAACTCTTTGAACAAAATAACCGTACTTATATACACAAATCATAAGGGTTCTAGTAAAATCCAGAATACCTGACATATAATAATTGCTAACTAGTAGGTTCTAGAACATTACAGAACTTATAGTACATATAATTACATTCCAGAATAATCTAGAAGGATACACATACATTACACAAGAAAAATCAACATAAACCACAACACATTATTAAGTACAATTTATCACAGTTATTCACTGATTCCACTTTTAATTATGTAGAACAGAGAATATTAATCAGCAATACTAATATTGTTATTACTTTAAAATCTCATGCTTATATTTTGCATGGCCAGAATGCACATGTTTATACAATGCACAATACATGCATGTCATTAGAAAGCCCATGAAAAAAGATGAGATCCCAAGTTCCTAATATCTCACATCTCCCATCAGCAATGCAATTGAATTGTCAGTTAATGAGGAAAATTGTTTTATCAACAAATACTAAACTGTCTATTATATCAAGCTACTGACTATAGAAATGTTTTGGTTTATAGTGAAGCATTTTTTATCTTTTCTTTCTTCATATCATTGAGATCTTGAGATGCATGATTTGAAATGACATAAATATCTTCACTCTTTGTGCTTTTGGTACTGTGTCCAGACTTTTAAGCACTGTGAATAGCAGCCCTAGGGAAGTACTGAAAAAAATGAGCCTTCCAGGGTTTCCTATATTCCTTGTTGAGCAAAATAAAAAATATAAAAATAAAAAATCCTTGAAGTGTGTTACAAAATGCTAATATAAACTGGACTGTATGAGATGCATTAGGCTCAGATATGAAAGTGAAGGCAGCAGATATCCAAGTTAAACCAAAGAGGATCATAATACCAGTAAAGGACAGTAACATCTTTAGTACTTCTGATACAGAGAGAGAGGAATTGCTCATCCGCTTCTTTCTATTGATGACATTTTTAAGAGTAGTTCGAATGACAAGTATGAACACAATTGTATTAATGATGATGATGAGGAAAATGGGTGACAAGAATGATGCTAACAATGGTACCATTTTGCCAATGAAGCAACTATATTGGGAATAATTGTCATAATATTAGTAAGATTATTAAGCACATAGATCTACATTCTTAATTTTTTTAAATTTCATTTCATTTCTGATTTTACCTTTAATTATGTACGAACAAAAAATACTGATCAGCAATACTGGTATTATTATTATTGCTGTAATAACTCAAGCTTATATTTTGCACAACAAGAATTACACAAATTTTTTGCACAATACATGTCTCCAGGAGCTCATGAAAGAAGATGAGATGATTGAGATTCATACTAACATCTCTCCATCATAATTAATAATATTGAACTGTCAGCTAATAAGGCAAAAAATAAAAAAGCACACACTAAACTCAACTATCTATTGTAACTAGCTACTATTAATTATAAAAATTTTTGGTTTACAGTGAAGTATCTTTCATCTCCTCTTTGTTCATATCATTAAGAGATACATGATTTGAAATGACATAACTATTTTCATTTCTTGATTTGCTCTTGGTACTGTGTCCAGACTTGTAGTCACTGTGAATAGTAGCCCTAGGGAAACACTGAACAAAACAAGCCTTCCAGGGTTTCCTATATTCCTTGTTGAGCAAAATAAAAAATATAAAAATGAAAAATCCTTGAAATGCATTGAAAAATGCAAATATAAACTGGACTGTATGAGATACATTAGGCTCAGATGTGAAAGTGAAGGCAGCAGATACCCAAGTTAAGCCAAAGAGGATCATGATACCAATAAAAGACAGTAACATCTTAAGTACTTTTGATACAGAGAGAGAGGAATTGTTCATCCGCTTTTTTCTATTGATGGCATTTTCAAGAGTAGTTCGAATGACAATTATGAACACAATTGTATTAATGATGATGATGAGGAAAATGGGTAATAAGAATGCTACTAACAATGGTACCATTTTGCCAATGAAGCAACTATATAATTGGGAATAATAAATTGTCATAAAATTAGTAAGATCATTAAGCACTCACAATTCTGAATTTTTTGTACTTGTAATGTAGTAGCCATTATCAACTGCCAATAAGATCATAACTGGAACAACAGGTATAGCTAAATATAAAGTATTATTATTGTATCCATTACTATCATTACTTACTCCAACAAACAATAGACACTATTAATATATATCGCCAAGATATGTTTGTAAACACTATTACTATTTTTTGAAACATCAGCACAGCTTCTGCTCCAATCCACATCCAGAAAACAAGAGTGAAGTAATGTATAAGAGCTCCTATGCTTATACACAGTGGACTCACTGATGTTCTACTAATTCCAGTGACAAATATAATTAGCACAAAGCACAATGAGAGACATAGCTGAATGTGAAACTTGCTGGAATCTTTCTTTCTTAGTTTTCTTTGTTAAAGATACCTTTAAACATCAATTAAGACGACATGTACACATACTTGAATACCAGCAATGTCAGGATTGTCAAGATTAGTCCAACTAAAGAAAAACTGACTCCAACATAAGAGATCACTTCTAATCCAACTCTAACACCAAATGGAGGAGGAGAAGTACCATTGGCAGTCCTAGTAGATATATCCTAACAGGATTATCAATAAACATTGAACATACAGTATTCATTGAAGCTTACAACAAGCATTGCAAAGTTGGTTAAGTGAT